TTTTTATTTAATTCCATACAGTACAACTCTATGCGTCCGTCATCAATGGAGTTTCATTCGTTTGAGGACTCGTGGATGCCTGGGCACCATAAGAAAAGATCATTAACCCAAGGCTTTCCTGAATCACCTCAGCAATCCTCGCCGCTTGGCAACTCCCCCATTCCTAACACGAACAGAGGAGAGATAACAAGCATGGCGTTTTAGAGACACGAGTCCTTGATAAATGCTAGGTACCAGATTCCGAAGAGAGCAATACTCGAGTGGAAGCCGCGTCAGGTGGCATTTGGCGGGAAAATCACGGCCTTCCGTCGGCAATGATGAAAAACACATTATAATGTGCTGAGTTGACACCAATATGCTCTTATATTCACCATACATTTTAAGGAATATTTTTATGGCTTATACATTCACCTACTTTTCATGCAATTTATGGTCTTAAAGCAATTGTCAGACTAAGAAAATTTATAAACGTCAGTGTAAATAATATATAAAAATCGGTTACCAGTGAATATATGATCACTTTTTTAATTTGAAATCGGTAAATGTGCGATTCGTTTTTTGAAGCTATATTGATCACGGAAGAGCGTATTTTATAGGACCTCGGGTGAAAAGATCAAAAGTTTTAAAAGTACTTTTATTTGAACAGGGAAAGATATGAAACAGAAGAGGTTGTTCGGAATAGGGCATTTTTAAAAGACATGTATCTTTTACAGTTGTTAAAATACATAAAGGCAAAAGTAAACTGGCCTTACATTTTTGAAAAATAATTTTTTTTTTGTAAATAAAGTGGAAACCAATGGATATTCTTGGAGTGCTGCATTTTTTTTTTTTTAAAGAATTACAAAATAATGTTGACAGTTGGGGAAACTATTTCTGGCTGTTCTTTCGTTAGATTCGTTCTTCAAAGCGGAGACCCTTTTCGCCGTTAAGACAGGATTGTTTGACGCAGGCACAGCAGAGGTACATACCGTAAATCCTCGAATTAGCCCCCTCAATCGAATAAGCGTCCCCTTCGAATAAGCGCCCCTCCTTTCGGCCAAAATTTAAAATAAGCGTCCCTCCTCGAATAAGCGCCCCGTCCCCTCTCCCCATTTTGTGGACTAGTAATGAGACAACAAAGGATGCATAGTTTTCGTCGTGTAGTATTCTCAGTATTAGATTTGTACATTGTTTCAGTTTGGGAACACGTTAAGTACTAACGGTGCCGCGATTTAAACTTTAGGATCATAAAGATCAGCTTTTTATGTCGATAAACAGCTTGTGTTGTTGTTTACGCGCAGATGATGTATTGGATAAAATGATCATGCCAGGCCACCATTTGGAAAAATTAAATAAGCGCCCCGCCTCGATTAAGCGTCCCTCGAATAAGCGCCCTCCAGCTTCGATTCTCAAATTTGAAATAAGCGCCCCGGGCGCTAATTCGAAGATTTACGGTATTTAATTCGAAGTATCGATTCTGAAAATTTTGTTTACCTCAATAAATATCTCCACGTTATGGGAAATCTAAAAGTTATCTAGCCGAAATATAGTCGTGACTTGCAGCAGACGTAATATTATGGCTGCCTGCTAAATTTCACTCGTGGAGTCCCCTTCCAAGTTTCACTGTATTTAGCAGTAATCTCTCTGTCGTCATCAAATGCGTTATTTGCCCTTCCTATGGTCCCTATCTGACTCTTTTGTGGAGCTGGATTGGTCGCCAGCTTTTTCTCGCCTTGTGGGGCCTGAGGTGTTCTGCGGACGGCAGCCGCTGGCTCAGTATCACTGCAGTCACTGCCTTCCTCCAGTTTGTCGTGTTTGTCGTAGGCAGTTTTGGGAATGCGACAGTCACACAGACAGCAACAAAATATGACTATGAAACAAATGGCATAAATTAAATTTCCGTAAAAAAAGAGGAAGAAATAACGTAGACCCATGCGGTCCCAAAATCAAAGTGGCTGTGAGTTACTGAACTTGGAAAATATATTATGAAAGGGTGTTATGAGGCATTGTTCATTAAGGAACTACTTGTGAAAATAAGTAACTTGACACGCTGCAAGCGACTTTAAAACAGCCTCAGACGGCTGATGTTCGAAACCCGGGGGGACGCCTATATGAAAAGGTCGCGGATGCTCGTCGTCTCGGGTACGAATCAAGGATCCTGGTCTCACTTAATAATAATAACGACTTTATTATCGTGTCAATTACATCTAGCAGTGGAGAACTTAGGGTGCTGATGACGAAACGTCATCATAGCTGTCAAAGTATCCTTTAGGAGTTAAATTCAAATTTTCTGACGAGCATCCGCTGCCTTTTCATATGGGAGTTCCCGTTTCCAAATGTCTAACGGGAAGTGACCCAGGGAAGGAGTGAAGGAGTGATGGAGTGAAATCATTCCACCACTACAACTTGGAAAATAATAAATATTTTCCAAGTTAAAAATGAACTCGGGAAGACTTGAACTCGAACCTTCAGAAATAAAAATGTTTAACCTTCACATTAATTTTATTACGCCCTATCCTCGCTTGAATCGCAGTTGTTTGTTACTCACTTAGAAAGATTGTGGCCACGAATGCGAGGCCAACCACTTGCCACAGTCTTATTCCCCACAGGTCCCTCTCGGTCACAGGTAGTGGAGTTGGCGTCGTAATCCTGGGTTCTAATGTCTTTACTTTTGGCGATGGGAGGAATACGTCATCGTTCTCCGCGGCAAAACCTGATCGAACCTGACACAAAGACATCAACTGAACAGTTCAAAATTGCTGTACTACATGATTCAGATGAAATGTAAAGCGAAGTTTTGTTAATCCTGAACGGAACAACTGCATCAATCGGCATTTACTGGTGCAAATTGTTTGTTGAATTTGTGGACATTTTAACATTGAACACCTTCAGCTAAACTCCTCGGTGTTAAGGCATTTTAAAAAACAAGTAGTGGTTTCCACGTAGAAATGTAATATATTAACTTTTATTTACCCTCAGAAGTGTTTATAGCACAAAGGCTATCTGGGCCGAGCAAACAAATAAAGCAAATGATTGAATTGAACGCAATTGAACACAACTGACCGGAGGCAAACCAGTTGGCTTTACAAGCGTGGCCGAGGATTTGAACCCGGGGCTGCTGAGAAACAAATCCAGGTAGTGGTCAGAGCGGAACTCGAACCAGGGAACGCTAGATTGCGAGTCCGACGCGCTGACCACTCGGCCACGCTACCTCCTAGTTTACATTAAGGAGTTTAAGAAAACCACGATGGCAACGGCAACGGCAACGTCGCTAAACAAAAGGTTTAAAGGGCAGAACAATGTCTGTGCACGTGCGTTATAATTCTTGGTACATTTCAGTTTGTCGTCCTCTGCAAAACAACGACGTGAAATGACCAAATTCTGCCTGTGGTTCCGGAGGTTCTAATGGATTATCTTTCAAACCATTCGGTTCATTTTAGTTTATAGAAAACAAACTTTTCTAAGAAAAATGAAGTTTTCTCAAATAAAAACATATTTGCATAGCCAGCGAACACAGCCTATTCTCATCACTTTGGTGCCGGCTTGTAGTCCTCAGTGGAAAGTCGGCTAAATTTGCAGCCTTACGGAAACGTTTGGAAACGCTATTGAGTGTCAGGTATATATGTACCACAAAGTTGAAAAAATAAACATGGGATATCTTAAGAGTAACTGATAACTGATCTGAGAGCAACTGGCATTTTTCTTTGTTAAAAACCCACACGCTGGGAACAATTGTTTTTATATTCGGTTTTCGATAACATTCAATAATTCATAGATTTCAACGTACTAATGTAGATCAATGTCACCTGTAAAAGATGTATGTGGGTATGTAGGCAGCCTCACGTTTTCAAAGAAAGAGTAATGTTTCAAAACAGAATGACCCGACACTTTCTGAAAAAATCCAGGCGAGATCCCGGTTCATGGCAAAACAGAAGCCGCGATTTGTATTACTGTGAAATTCTGTTGTTCGGCTGAAAGGACTAGATACTTAAAGCATACAATAGCCGATATTATTGCTAAACAGAAACACGAGAAGTACGTTATTAGTTACCTGTAATCCAAGGAGTATAAAGTACGTGAAAGTTATCTTTAAAACTAGCAACACAGTGGATTTGATATCGTCTGCCGTAGCCATGATACTGTAAATTAATGAACGTTTCT